AAATACACAAACAGTACATAACATCTAACTTGGACGAAATGAGTCGATCCCGAATATATTCGTTAAAAAATGGTCTTTTTCCAAAGATCGAGTAAGGGAATAAATTACTTTTTCGATAATCGGGAGATAAAATATATCCCAGGAAACGAAAGAACGGGCTGTGGTTGTTGGAAAATTGGATATTCAACGGAACAACCACTACTCAGAGGATAGCATCCCCTACAATCTTTCCGCTGCACGAGGCCTAGGGCTTCGAAAGTATATTAAGTATACACCTTTTTCCCAGTAATTTGGTACATCTCAATTACTACGTCCCTGCACCTTTCTAGAAAAAAAAAAATTGGTGACAAAGTTGAACGGGTTCAATTTATACAAGGAGGAATGGCCAAGGAAAGAGAAAATAATCATGATAATACATTGATCTTTTGTAATGCTTATAGCTTTTTGAACCCCTCGACCTTGGCCGCACTTACGACGAATAAATTCGCTCCGGCGAATCGTTCAAGTAAACGACTTTTCATTCCCGTTTGCAGACTATTTAGTAATGTTCGCGATTGACTCGATAAAAATATGTTTCCTTAAAAAATTAACTCAAGCTTAGATCAAGGGAGCGACTATATTGATTGTAAACCCGGCATCTTATTGTACTCACCAAAATAATTGGACAACGACCATTCTCCCATTGTCGGCGGTTTGCGAGGGACTTTCTTGCACGAATCGTTATTGAAATTCACTTAATTGTTACTCGAAACCTTAGACCTTGGGCTTTATAGAGTTAAACATAAGAGACAGGCTCTGTTTGCTTTTATAACAACCCGCATTACTTCAGACTCTTGCATAAGCAACTTTGGGCGTGTAGCGTCCACTCTTGGCTACTTGAAATAATGAATCTTTAATTCAGCATTGTTTCCTAACTTGCACAAACTTGTATCCATCTCATTCGAGACCCGTAAAAATGAGAGGATTCGAAGTTATTGTGCTTTAACAGCAAGCGAACTCGTCCTTGAGAAAGGAACACAACGCTACTAAAATATATGATTTTCATATATTTATTCTATCTCACAACGCTACTAAAACCGACAGAGCTGAATAATGAAATGCTACGTCAGAGGGCATGCGGTCAACAACGCGGGCTCAAAAGTCCTGGGTCTAAAATTTAGAGAAATTAGTGGAAAATAATAAGGGCTGACTTTTAAAACCTAGGAACTCTGTTTTCGTCGAAGGCACTTTCCTATTTCCAGAGGTTTTAAGGAGAAAATTAATTTTTGAAAGTTTTTAGGGGGTGTACCAAGTTTTTGGAGGTTGTTCTGTAAAAGAATAGCGGCAAGGAAAACGACGCCTCGAAGCAACAGAATAGGAAATCAACCTTGCAAACTACTCAAAAATCCGTTTTCCGCGGTAAAACCTAACGCATGCATATACGCTATTCAGCTCTGTCACTAAAACCATGTGCTCGGTAGTAAAAGCGCCCGCAATGCTAGTACGCTGACCATGCTATATAAAGCTCATTTTTCTGTCTCCTACAGCGGATCTATCACTGTTTTGGTTTGGACAATATGTTAAATGGTGGAAACAATGGTTCACACAGATTACCAGACAAACAAACAAACAAAAAAAGACACAGATTACCAGACAAATAAAAAAAAAGCAACATAAGTGAATTACCGATAGGATCTCCAAATTTGTCTTGCATATGTGATGAGCACCTGCCATAAACCCTTGTATTAAAACGATGTTAACTTAATATGTCGAGTCAGAACATGTATAGTTCTCGTGTGGAATGAGAAATGTGAGCCAGTTTTCTAACGTCTTCACTCAGAGGGTCGCTAGATTGACTTCATCGTGACGTGTTTGGGTGAACATTTCTCAAGACCTTTGTGGAAATGTAATAATAGAAGGGAACGGGGGCTAAAGACAATGTTATAATCTGGTATTTCTCATTCTTTAATAAATGGGGTGAGAAAAAATGGTGAAATGTGAGAGATTAGGAGCAATCTTACAACGGTGGTTACCCAGGGAAGTTCTTTTCACACGTCACGCAATAATCCTTTAAAGAGGATTGCGTGACGACCACAAAGGATCGAAATCGGTTCCCACAATCCATCGATCGTCAAAAAGACGAATCTGTTCAGAGCAGCAGGACTTATGATATATAACTACCACAAAAGAGTGTATCACTTTGCAGCTGCAGCATGGATCTGTTAATTATCGTTCCATGTATAGTGGGCCTCTGGCTAAACTGGTCGTTGTTAGCTTACAACAAGCACAAGATGAAAACAAGCCTAGATATCCTTGAACATCTGATCAGATTTCAAGTAACCGCAAACTCTTTTAACCTCTTAGTTTATCTGCTCTTGCTGATACCTTGGCCATCTTGGGGATATGCGATTCGACCGGGAGACTATTTGTGGACCGTAGATATCCTTACCTGCAGATTAATCACAACAGTCCAAGAAATTTCATCCATAGTGTGCATTTTGAACGCAGCTGGTATTTTTCTGTCAAATCAGGGGAAAGACGAGCTAAGAAAGGAGAGACTATGCAACATTCCAGCTGTAGTTGTTTCGACATTGTGTTTTTTGAGCGGAATTCTTGTCGTTGTTTATACAATAGTAATACCTCTTCAGAAACAAAGCACTTTGAGCGGAGAAAACTGTCCTGGCCATTCGTTTTCAGTGCTCTGCGGACAGACCGAGGTGAAAGCTTTCTTTTTATGCTACGTGGCTTGTTCTTTATTTCTGTTTATCTTCAATTTGCCGTTTACAAAGTCTAGTGTGAAAAAAAATTTGGACCTGAGCTTCAAATTGTTATCTGGGGTGTTTCACGTCATCACGTGTTTTCATCTCTTCTTTGGAGCTGCGTTCATTGTTATGTTTCTTTTTGGAGGATCTTTATACAGTGTCACTATCAACATCGTCAAACTCTATTTTGACATAGTCAGTCTTGCCGTTAGTATCGGCTTCCCTGCATTTTTGAACACAGATTAGTTTACATAACACGATGTGCAATCGCCTCCTTCAAGCAGTGGCACCCAACTAGATGGAAATTGAGTTATAGACCGAGATTCTTTGTATCAGTAGCAGGAAATAGAAATCTGCTGTTTACTAGACTTACTTTGTTTGCTTCCATACTTGATAGTCTTTCCAGGGATGCCTTCTAGAACACAGTCTGTTATAAAAGCAATGTTTTTGAAGTGGCACGTCAGACTCACACATTATATGTCAGAGTTTACAGTTATTTAACTATAGAATATCAAATGAATGGCAGGCTTACATCACATTGATGTTTGAAGATAGGTCTTAATTCTAATTATAATGATAAAAATTTCTTTTTAACTGAACATGCAACATGAGTTCATCAGTACTTACACATGTGCTAGATCTCCTTTGATTTCTACCGTTCAGGGTTTTTATTCCACTGTACTTTGAGAGGTTTGGCAATTCATTCAGAAGTCCAAAGTTAGCATGGCCTGGAGATCTGAAAAGCATTCATCTTCACCTTAAGGATCCACCTCTCCAGGGAAAGAATTGACTAAAGGAAAAGGGCAAGGGTTTGTTAATTAAACCCTCTTTAAATGCACAGCCAGCTTGTTATGTTAAATATTGAAAGCTCACTCAGGGCATAAAAAATGCTTTGATTTTCTTTTACTTATACCTGTGATAGAAAGAACAGACATTAAAGATATGTGTCAAGTAAAACTGTTGAATTTTGCTGAGTGATAAAGCAGCCAGAATTTCCTCTTCAGTGGCCTGAAAAAGGGCTGGGTCCATCTCCCTAGAGAGAGAAAAAATTTGTTTATGTATCTGCTCTGATAACTTCCATTTTCAAGTTGGAATGGGAAAAGAGGAGATTACAGACTAGATATCTGCTAGATGTCTGCTTGCATCCCAGTGGCACTAGGTCTGAAAGCATGGCATAAAGAGTTCAATAGGTCAGCTTCCTTACAAGCAAAGGTGTCTCAAATATCTTCGCTCCGATGAAGGGCTAACGCTCGAAACGTCAGCTTTTGTAATCATTACGGTGGCCAATTTACCATTTCAACTTTGTTGATATATCCAAATTATTTRAAATATCTTTAGTTGGTGATCATTTACTTTGTTCTTGTGACCTTAATGTGTGATTTCGGGGTGATATTGTAAGGAGAAATTAGATGCTGGTCACTCCTAAGGGTTAAAGGACTAATAACCTACCAGACAATGCTGTAATGTGCCACAACCTGTTATAATTGATAAATATTTACTATTATAACATTTTAGTTGTAATTTTCATCAAAAGATGACTCAATCACTGACACCTTTACAGCAAGCATCTAATTCTGTGGTAAATGTGAGATACTTTAGCATGAGGACTGATGGTGATGACTTTCTAATGAGGAACTGCTCAAACTCATTGGTGGTCATTTCATTCTAACTTTGTGGCATAGCACCAAGATCTGTGATAATAGGTCCCTGCAGAAAAAAAAAAAACAACAACAACAACAACAACCAAAGAATTTGAATGCCAAGGATTGACTCCAATGTCTAGCTAGCTGTTTAAAGGAAAATTTCTCTCAGGGAGAATTTAATGAGGGCCAATTAATTTACAAGAAAAATTAGGAAAAAACAAAAACAAAACAAAGGTGGGAAAGAAATGGAGGATCAAGAATGTTTTTTTCTTGCAATCTCCCTTTGAAACTGGTAGATCAGGGTCCAATGGAAGTTGCTAATTTCAAATCTAAGAAGATTAACCTCAATTGCCAGTTGCTCATTCCAAAGGAGGGATCCTCTTCTCAGTAGGAAGGAGAGGTCGGAGACTGGACTTAGAGAATTGGCAAGAATTGTGCCAAGGCTATTACCATCATCAGTAATAGGTAGATTTTGACATGGAGTCTCTAGTTCTTTAACATTTGCCAATTTTACCAAAATCTGGCTACAGGTTAATCTGCACTAAATACGCAATTTTGATAATCATACCTGGCATTTTCATTCTCAAAATGTATTCCCTCTAAAACAGCTCCATTTCCATTTTCAAGTGTTTTCAGGACATTGTCCACCTTGTCACCAAGAGGATGATCAGGAATGACCGCTGATGCCAAAAATGATGTTGTTCCATATTGAATGAGCTTAGATCTTGTAAAGTGTATGAGAAGGAAAATCTAGAAAAGATATCAAATAGCTCTACTCGTGATCATTATTAATTTCACCTTTTTTGCCGTTATGTTCAACAAATGCCTGGCTGGAACCCTGAAATATCATAGTCTAGTTCAAACTAATAAGCACACCAGTAAGAGTAATGAGAGCAGGTGAGTTTAACCCTTAGACCTGATGATGCACTTAATTTCTCCCTGTAATACAAACCCTGAATCACACATTAAGGTTATAAGAATAAAGGAAATGATCACCAACGAAAAATAGCTCCTGATTGTTAAACAAATTATCCTTGTCTGCCCCCTAGGAAATGTATACAGAACAGTATGGAGAATATACATACTGATGTTCAGGTGTAAAGGGTTTAAAGAGACTTACCTGGATTATATCAAAACTCTGTTTCTTCATCAGCCCCACCTATCAAATTTGTGTAATTAAATCAGCCAATCAGTTATTATTATCAAATTCTCAAAAAAAATTTACAAGGAAATATGTAGCAGCTAGAGGGGAGAATTGACAAACTATAAGATCTTGGGAATTAAAAGGTTAATCCTTTGACTCCAAGGTCTCCAAGACAGAATTTCTCCTTAAAAGTATATCAATACAATACAAAGCAGACAAATGATGAGAATAAGTGATATATCACCTATATATCATCTATATATCATCTGATTTGTATTAGTAGTTGATCAAATATCAAATTCTTAAAGCTATTACACCATACTAATTGCTGGCAGACAGTAAGGAGAACTAATGTTAAGATCGATCAAGGGAGTGAACTGGGTTAACAATTTTAATATGAAGAGACCCAAAATATGGCATGCACGATCTCATAAAATCACTATATATTACATAAATTATCAAATCGTTTTCAGTTAATTGTTAAAATAAAAATAAAAAACTCAAATTTGGAAACCAGTACCCATGCCCTGATTGTGAAGATCAACAAACCCTGGGGTTAAATAATGACAAGCAAGTTTATCGTTTCCACACTCTCCTTTGCACCTATCAATAGCTGCAATCAAACCTTTCTCCAGAACTACAAAAGGACCTTCCTCATATTGTCCCTGGGAAAAAACGACGATCTTTGCCCAAACAACTAGAGATTTAAACATGTTCGGTTATTTGTTGCGTGACGAAGAAGACAGACGTTCGTGACCAGTTCTTAAACCTACTAGGTTTTTACCCTTCAATCCTCTATCAGCTCCGATTGCTTATGGTTTTTCGCTGTTTGATACGAATGTGATGTTGGTTTTTGATTTCTTCATCGATCTAGTCTACCGGATGTAAAGGCGGACTTGACACTGAAATGTGAATCCCTGTTATTGCTATTTTTGCGTGACGTTGATCTGTGGATCACAGATCAATCATTATCAATGCAACAAGGTAGGGCAGGAAATATAACAATAAGGCATAATTCACCAATTTACGGAATTTTATCATCTCTCTGGCTTCTATCGCTAATTAAAGCAAGACGCAGCCTCAAAATCACGACAATCTTTGCGAGGAAGCTAAGAATAACTCTGAAGGTCATCGAAGGGTACGGAGATCTGGGAACAAGACTGAACTTTGATACTAGTCGCGAAGAGCAGCTTGGGAGAAATGTTACGTTGACAAAAGCGCCTGCGCATATTGGCGAAAACCCCGGAAAAAAAACAGATTTGTAGTAAACTTCTTCATAGTTTACTAAGGAATAAAAATGCTTTCCTCAGCTCTAAGAGTTGGACTCAGCCGAGTTTCAACTGCTGCTAAGAAGCGTGTTTTACCAACAATAAGTTCAGGTTTGTTTTTTTGTTTATTTTAATCACAATGCGTTTACGTGTAGCAAGTCGTAGATATTGTGGCTTACGAAGTTGCACGTGAAATCCAATGAATTGAGTTTTACACCTTTCACGTTAATGTATCTGCCAAATTTTTCATTGCATATCAAGTGAATTGTTATTTTGAAATTACTTCCAGTCGATGTGTGGCTTCAGAGTACTCTTTTGGTTCAGTCCTCTTGTACTTTCTTGTGACAGTACGAAGGTCACGCAAATGGTCCACCACACCACCAGACCCACCCCTTGAGTTCCTTAAACATAAAATTTACAATATTATTGAATTCCGAGATTTAGCCTGCTACATTTCCACTTCTGTTTTCTATTTCAGGAATTCTCACGCGGTCTAATCAAACTTCAGCAGGTATGCAAAGCTTGTTTTATCATTTTGAGATTTGTTTGACCTTGTAGATATCAATCAGTTTAGTGAAGGTTCATATTGAAAAAAGTTAGTCAAAACTCCACGTTAGGGCTATATACAATGGCACGAGCAGGTCTTGAACAACCTTAATGACGTAGTGTAAAGTCCTGTAAGGTGCAAAGTTCTCAACAAATAAATTCCATGTTGATGCAAGTGAAGATGGTGAAATTGCCTGGTGTTACAAGTAAAAGATCCCATTTTGTTGTGTATCTATTAAGTAATAGATCATCACAGATCAAGTAAAAATGTAATAAGAACATAAAAGTGTCACACAAGACACAGCCAGGTATGTCACTAATGTTCTTACAGCATTTTGAGGTCTTCTATATATATCTTATTAACCAAGCGTGAGGGCCATACTGGGAGAATATTGGCCCGAGGTCTTGACAGTACGGACCGAGCACAGCGAGGTCCGTACAAAAAAGACCGAGGGTCGATATTCTTCCAGTACGGTCCCGAGCAAGCTTGGTTAATCAGAGATTTATTATACGACTGAAGTTCAGAGGGACACAAGTGCGGTATCATTTGGGACCATTCAGGACAGTGCCCAGTCCAATACTGAGAGAATATTGACCAGCAATAGAGCATTTTGATTGGTTGATTTTAGTTATTGGCCCTCTGACTGCCTGAGTCGTGTAATAAGACCTGTTACTGACCCAGGGCAACAAAGAATCTTTGGCTTTTGTATGGCGAAAACACAAAATGCCATTCATAGTGACATCATCTTTGTGTCTGTCCTGGAATATTGATCCTTATTAAAAACTGGATCATTGGATAATGCAATTCAAGACTTTTTATTGGCTCAGCCATTATGGTATATGAGCCAATATACCATAATCTAATATCTGTACATTGTAACATCTGGTTTCTTCTTACAAAATAAAGTCGAGAAGATTTGTCTAATATTATCTTGGGGGCGTTTTTTTTAATAAAACAATTATTCCACTCGCGCTTGTTAGATATGAGATGATTATAGCCAACTCAGCGCTACGCGCCTTGTTGGCTATCTATCATCTCATATCCAACACGCACTCGTGGAATAATTGTTAATTAGTAAGAACCAATTGAAATGCATGTACACTTCAGCTTATCTTTTAAAGAAAATAGAAGGAAACGAGAAAGAGGAAGAGGCATCTGTATGATAAATTGCTTTTTTCCTGAATGAGGATGGACAGATAGGAAGATATTTCACCATCAGCTATGTGTGTTATAAAGTAAGACAACATTTTACCAGTAAAGACTAAGGGTTAACAACCTGGGCCCAGTTGTTCAAAGGCCGATTAGCTCTAACCCAGGGTTAAATTTTAATCTAGGTTTCTAAATTTCTCTAATCAAAAGCCATTTTGGGATAATTTTCCCAGTTCTTTCTAGGACATTCAATCATCAAATTGTAGACAAATGGAATTACGCTGAATTTTCTTTCAGAGCTTTCAGATCTGAAATCGAATTTCACACTAACCCTGGGTTATCTTAACACAGCTTTGAACGACCTGGCCCTGATTACTACATAATACAAGTACAAGAGTGATATACAAAAATTAATAAATAGGTATCTAAGTGGGTTATCACTAAAGGCATTCGCTAAACTGTTTAAACTTAAATTATACAGATTCCAAGTTTGTAGCATGTCATTGAGAGAGTTCTTCGCACAAGGTTTACTTTAATCCCTCGGAGTGTTTTAATTACACTGTATAGCAATTTGCATACCTCTCTGCTCTTGGTGGTGCTTGAGAATATCCACTTGTTGACTAAGTGGGAGGGCACAACAGAAAAATACTTGGGTCATGGATATGAAGTAAGGATTATTTGATTTGTTTCTGCTTAGCAGACAAATGTGTAAAATGCCACATCCAGGATGGTGTAGCTGTTGTCAGGTTTGACACTCCAGACTCTAAGGTGAGTCTTAAGTATTGTAAAAAAGTTATTACAAGAAAAGTTCACTGTACAGTGTAAATAATGTAGCTTCATTGACTTGAATCTCTTAATTCCTTTGTTAGGTTAATGTGCTGTCGGAGAAGCTCACAACAGAATTGGTTGAGGTAAGAATAATGAGTGCAGATTCTGCCTCTATGTGATCTTCATAGAATAAATGAAAAGTTGTAAGGTCACTTCATTGCATTGTGTTAATCTGATTATTGCCACTTCTTATGTGAATGAATGATTAGGTAATGCAAGGGGTTGAAAATAACCCAGATGTGAAAAGTATTGTTCTTGCATCTGCCAAACCAGGATGTTGGATAGCTGGTGCTGATATCAAGTATGTTGACAAACAGTACAGTTTACAAAAAGCTGTTATTGTATTGTAAAATGCATCCAATAATGACACCCAATGTATTGTGATTTACTTGTGAGAAAAAAATAATGGTTTTGACTACATGCTACCCTTTTACAAGTGCTATTCTTAATCATGTGATAAGGGAAATGGTTTTTAACCAAACAAAGCACATTGATAAGTGCAATTGGTTAGCTCTCAACAGCTATGATCAATGTAATCTTACCCTCAACTTTCATGAGTGATCAAGATAAAATTTCCCTTCACGATAACAATACAATGTCACGCATAAAAGTGATGAGAATATAAATTAAAAAAGTCAACTAGGAGATCAGTAGTTGATCCAATGCTAAATTGTCAAAACTAACATCACAAGAATTGTATGAGAGACAGTAGAAAGAAATACGATTGAGTTCTCATGCGTGAAGTGTTTAAGTTTGGTTGTCCTAGTGAAGTTTTACCTCAAGTGGTCTGCTATCATACCACTTTCTTGGACAGCTGTAGTTATGTTTCTTGATCTTGGTTACATCACGTTCTTGAAATTTCTTATTCACTGTCCCTGTTAATGTTTGGGTTAAATACATGTATTCCATTAAGTTGGTGATCATTTCCATTTATCATTGTGACACTAATGTTTGATTCAGGGGTGATATTGTTGGGAGAAATTAGATGCTACTCACTCTTATGGATTAAAGGGTTAAGAACAAGTAAATATAACACATATCATTTCTTTTCATAGCATGTTGAGTGCTGGTGACACTGCGCAGAAGGTAAGATTGCATTCGTGTGTTTTTGCTTACATTTCCACATATATTGTTGGTTGGTCTATAGGCGGATTCATGCTGATGTCATTGTTTACATTTTTTCTCATTTGCATACGGCTTTGCGTAAAGAAGGAAGCATGTTAGATACAAATTGACTTCAGGCAGCTAAAGAGCTAGAAAACCTTAGTACATAGTGAAATTTTTAGCTCTTTGGGTGTAATATTCAAGGAGAAATAGTCCATCAAAAACTGCAAAATTTCTGGGTGGCAAAAGCGCTAATGAGCTCATACATTCTATGTAAAATTTTGAGTTTTTAAACCCGTGTTGCACAAAAAGTATTCAATGCATCAGGCTCGTATTCATTGGCCGAGTTAATCGTACTTTGACCTTTCGATATTCAGAGCTGATTTATTTTTAGCTCCATCAGAAACTGAATTGCTTATGCTAATGAGGCAAATATTGTAAACAAGGATTCCCCTATAGTGCACTGTTGTTAGTTATGCCAGGCTGACAGCCACAACCTGACCCCTACTATAGACTCAGCAAACCATACATATACACCATGTGCAAATTACATTTACATTTTTTTTAATTGGCAAAGTCATCATAAAAACATTGCAGTTATAAAGTGTAACTTGAAATCATGGTTAGATAGATAGTAAAATCAAAAACTATGGATGCAATGAAAAGTCATTTTTGTAACATACCTGAATTTAATTTTAAGTTTGAGGAGGTTTGTTTTTATCCCATATTTATGTGTTAGACTATTTTATAATATGTTTTATCTTTCTAAGGTGGAAGAAATATCAGCAAATGGCCAGAAAGTCATGCAACATATTGCAGTGAGTGCTCTAACTGGTGCTTACATTTTGGTATTATTGTCTGCCAGTTTGCATGTCTAGTTGAACTGTCCTCGGGAACGATCATTGTATAGCAGTTAAGTTTTTGATTTTTTAAGATGGCATTGTATTAATTACATTGTGTCTTTGTTACAGGACAGTCCCAAACCTTATGTTGCTGCAATTATGGGATCATGCCTTGGAGGTGGACTGGAGGTAATTGCATTTTATGTGGCCTGTACAGCCCTATCCATGCTTTTGTTAAAAAGGTTAAGACAAAAATCCTGAATGAAGGCTATATATAGTGGCTGAGCAGCACTGGAAAAAGACACACAACCCTATGAGATTTGAGCAAAGGGAAAGTAAGGGT